ATTCATTATGCTCAAGAGGTAGTTGGATTTTTGTTGGAGGTAGTTAGATTTTTGCTGAATTGTCTTTGTGTTGCCAGTCAGTTATGATCAGAGACGGAGCTGCACTGAGCAGGTAAACAACATGCAGACAGTTTCTACAGACAATCTGCATGTTCTCTTCCTGAGCTAATCTGAAGTCCACATGAAGTTTGGAGGTCTGTTGTGATTGAAGTTGGTGACTTCTGTGCACTACACACATGGCCGAACACTTCATGGTTAAGTTGCTGTCGTTCCCAATCACTTCCACTTTGTTATAATTCCACTGACATTTGGCTGGAATATTTAGGAGCGCTCCTGTCATGTATGATCCTGTCATGTATGATCCTGTCATGTATGATCCTGTCATGTATGATCCTGTCATGTATGATCCTGTCATGTATGATCCTGTCATGTATGATCCTGTCATGTATGATCCTGTCATGTATGAATGTCATGTGTGATCCTGTCATGTATGATCCTGTCATGTGGTACCATCTAGTGTGTTCCGATTCCTGACCAATTCCTGACCTAGTCGCTGGAGAGAAATAAAACTGAGCGGAGGCACTAGGTGGCACGAGCTTGGCTAGTAAAATGTAGCTGTTAACTTGAAAACTACCTCTTCATGACATCACAAGGTGGAACAGAGCATTTTGAGCAGATAAACTAATAGCACAGAGTTATTCAAACATGGTGAATGAAACAAAACACAACTCTGGTGTTTGTTTTTGATGTGGTAACGGCATTGTAATGTGATTTAAAGCTCACAAGAGTCAATTTTGTGCAATATAGAACCTTTAACCAAATTATAATTGTATTGATTTATTTATTTTTTTTATAAATTGCTTAATAAAACTGCTTTTCCTTAGCCTATAGTTCACCTGTATGTTCTTTTTTATCAAGGCCTATTTGCATTGTTATGTACATGTGACCCCATGTTCTTGTTATCAAAGTGCAAAATCATTACATCTGACCATGACTTTATGCAATTTCCTCTGACTGTATAAACAACCGATAAATAAGAGTTTGATGTCACTCGCTTTGTAATCAACATAAAATAAAAATAAACGTGTCAGATAATCGTACGGAGACTTGATTGAATGTTTTACCATTGACCAGCTATAGCATAACGCCAATCAAAAGAGGTCAAAGGTCATTGTGCAACAGCTATTGAACACAGCATTGCATATTAGAAGTCATTCAGCATGATTACGCGAGCAGGGGTCAAGGGGAGCACGTCGACATATCGAATTAATTCTGTTTAACGTGGAAATAAATATGACTGAAATGTAGAAGTGCGTATTTTGTGCCTGTATTGATTAATGTATTGTATAAACAGTGTTGGGGAGTAACAGATTACATGTACTGGAGTTACGTAATCAGAGTACAAATTATGAGTAACTGTATTCAGTTACTGTTTCAGTGAGTGGTAATTGGATTACAGTTACTTGGTTAAAATAAATGGATTACACAGAAGTATTTTCCTGTTTTCACATTTTGGGCTATATCCCTTTTTTTTTTTTTTTTTTTTTTTTTGTAATTCCACTCATTGCTGGACACTAAACCAGGTCGAAACCAGGTCTAAAACCAGGTCTAAACCCAGGTCTAAAACCAGGTCTAAACCCAGGTCTAACCAAGGTCTGAACCAGGTCTAAAACCAGGTCTAAACCAGGTCGAAAACCAGGTCTAAAACCAGGTCTAAACCCAGGTCTAAATCAGGTCTAACCAAGGTCTAAACCAGGTCTAAACCGAGTCTAACCCAGGTCTAAAACCAGGTCTAAAACCAGGTCTAAAACCAGGTCTAAACCAGGTCTAAACCAGGTCTAAAACCAGGTCTAAACCAGGTCTAAACCAGGTCTAAAACCAGGTCTAAACCAGGTCTAAACCAGGTCTAAAACCAGGTCTAAACCAGGTCTAAAACCAGGTCTAAAACCAGGTCTAAACCAGGTCTAAAACCAGGTCTAAACCAGGTCTAAACCAGGTCTAAAACCAGGTCTAAAACCAGGTCTAAACCAGGTCTAAACCAGGTCTAAACCAGGTCTAAACCAGGTCTAAACCAGGTCTAAACCAGGTCTAAAACCAGGTCTAAAGTCTAACCAGGTCTAAAACCAGGTCTAAACCAGTCTAAACCAGGTCTAAAACCAAAACCAGGTCTAAAACCAGGTCTAAACCAGGTCTAAAACCAGGTCTAAAAACAGGTCTAAAAGGTCTAACCAGGTCTAAAACCAGGTCTAAGGTCTAAACCAGGTCTAAACCAGGTCTAAACCAGGTCTAAACCAGGTCTAAACCAGGTCTAAACCAGGTCTAAAACCAGGTCTAAACCAGGTCTAAACCAGGTCTAAAACCAGGTCTAAACCAGGTCAAAACCAGGTCTAAAACCAGTCTAAACCAGGTCTCTAAACCAGGTCTAAACCAGGTCTAAAACCAGGTCTAAACCAGGTCTAAAACCAGGTCTAAATCAGGTCTAACCAAGGTCTAAACCAGGTCTAAACCAGGTCTAAAACCAGGTCTAAAACCAGGTCTAAACCATGTCTAAAACCAGGTCTAATCCGAGTCTAACCCAGGTCTAAAACCAGGTCTAAACCAGGTCTAAACCAGGTCTAAAACCAGGTCTAAAACAGGTCTAAAACCAGGTCTAAAACCAGGTCTAAACCAGGTCTAAAACAAGGTCTAAACCAGGTCTAAACCAGGTCTAAAACCAGGTCTAAACCAGGTCTAAAACCAGGTCTAAAACCAGGTCCAAACCAGGTCTAAACCAGGACTAAACCAAGACTAAACCAGGATTAAAACAGGACTAAAACCAGCTCTAAACTATGTCTCAAACAGGATTTAACAGGACTAAATCCTGCTCTGCGGACGTGTCTCCTCGTCTTCTATCAATAATATTTTTAATACGGTTCAGTAAAGTCTGGGCTTTTTATTTCTTTTAGCAGACAAAACTTCTTATGTCGTCTTTGCTTCTCTACAGCAAATCAAGTAATCCAAAGCATTCAGATTACATTACTCACTTTAAGTAAATTAATGGATTACGTTACAAACTACATTCTGGGGTTTGTAATGCTGTAATCTGTAGGAGAACACATTTTAAAAGTCACCTTCCCAACACTGTGTATAAATGTATTGTGTGCGTGCTATACCCTCAGTTTGTGGATAGATGGCGCGCTTGTGCAGCTTTTGGAACAAGGAAGCGTCTCCACCGTGGGCTCCACTGACAGGATTCTGAGCCCCGTCAATTTGAAAAGAAATTTACCGCACACAACCGGATATGGAAATATTTTTAGTTTCTCAATAAAACTGTATTGTATTTTATGTGACTACATTTAGACCAGGAGTGGACAATTATTTTTTTCATGGGGCCACGTAAGAAACAGAAAATATAACATTGTGTATATCAATTCTGCATAACATTAATTTTATTTTGTTATAAAAAGCCGTAAATACTGACTGGTAAGCGTTTATGTTATGATTAAGTAATGAAAAAATGAGGCTGGCTTACAAAAAATGTCACTAAAAACACGTCTAAAATAAAAGCAATGCAGATTTAGTCCATGTATGAGGTAAAATGATAAAATACGTTTTATTTTGTAATTCCAAATGATCTTAAATGCTCCGGTCAGAGTCAAACAAAGGGTCAAATGTGGCCGAAGAGCTGAATAATGCCCAGATTTAGGTCGATTCAATATTAAACTTTGCTAGAACGTAGACAGGAAATGTGCAAAAGTTTGTATTGTATTAAAATTTTTCCCCACAAATGTATGCATATTTATTTATTTATTTCCATTTGGCATCCATTTAGCCATTTAGGCACACTTAGAGGAAGCAAAAGGAAAGGGATTGATTATATTGATTACTCTGACGCTGTTTAAATCCAGCCTCAAAACACTTCTTTTTATTCCACACTTTTCTCTCTCCCTCTTTTTAGTTTTACGATGATTATTTATGTTTTTATTTGTTTTTATTGTGATTTTTTATGTATTTTTTATCCTGTAAAATGCTTTGAATTACTTTGTGTACAAATTGTGCAATACAAATAAACTTGCCTTGCCTTACATACTGAAAATAAATGGTAACAAGAACTAGTCTGGAACTTGACTGGATAAATTAGGTGACAGAATTGCCCATGGATGAAACAATTATCGATTAGTTAAAGGATGCACTGCGTAACATTTCTTGTGTAAGATTCGCCACCTGCTTATCTCCATGGAAATATTATTGCTTTGTCTACAATATTCTGCAGTATAGATTAAACCTACATGCAGGTTAGAGCACAATGCTACATTACAGTTCAGATCTGTGGAGGGCACTGGATAAAAACAATATCTAGGTAAGTTAAAATGACTTAAATTAAGAACATTTGACTTTATTTGAGTAGATTTAACTTGACAAGTAAAATTGGAATAGGTGTGTTTTTCTTAATTAAAGCAACATTCAATTTTGATTCTTATTTTCTAAGAGCAAAAAGTTGTTGTTTTTCTCATTTTAAGCGTAGCAAGATGTATTTTCATATTTTAAGTACAGAAAGTCTCGTTCCACTGGCAGATAATTTTACTCGTCAAGTGAAATTTACTCAAATCATGATCAAACTTTCTTCATTCATATCATCTTAACTTGACTAAATTTAGATTTTTGCAGTGAGTCGCTCCTATTCACTGAAGAAATTATTGTATTTTTGAGCAATAAAACCATCTGTAATGAATAAATGCAATGGATTTTGTTGTTTAAGGTTTAATGCCATACCATGGAACATTCCAGGCAAAGCAATAACATCTCCATGGAGAGAAATTGGTTGCAGAGTGGACCCTTAATTATGCAAAAACTTTTCCTCATTAGGATTGCAATTAGTCACTATTTAAGTTGATGATTTGCCTTTGTATAAATCCAAAACTACTCAAATGACATAACGTAATCGCTTTTGTCTCCAATTTTATTTTGAAACGTTTTACCGGATGTTGTTGCCCTCCACATTCCCGACTTCTCCAAACTGAACTAATCCAAGTGTCAGCGCGGAGACGCACACAGCAGCAGCAGGTCGCGACGTCCCTGTCCACACGAGGACCGGACCCGGGAGATCCACAGGAGCAGCAGGCGCGTGTACCCGACCTGAGCACCCTCTTTTACCCGCTTTCACTTCCACATTCACCCCTGAAGTGACAAGTGTCGCTCCGGGAAAACTCCGGGGGAAATTCGCGCGACTTTCGGCTCCGGGACTCACCTGAATATGGCTTCTACCACCTGCACAAGATTTACGGACGAATACCAGCTTTACGAGGAGCTGGGAAAGTAAGTTTAAACTGCAAACATCACGCAAACTACGCTAAAAATGCTCTTCATAAGAAATAGTTGGAATTAAAGTAACTTAGTGCGTTTTATTTTCGTGCGTAAAACCAAACAAACCTACTGCTAACCCCATCAGCCTCCTTTTAATAGGCAACCTGTTGTTTTTCTGCGTGCACTTTGCGTCAGAAACTCGTAAAATACACTTATATGCATTGGTTTTGGAAGAAATTACTCTAATGCCATGTTTTGTTGACGTCTGGTGAACTTTCGTAGTAGGTACCCGCCCTTTTACAGTAACCCACTGTACTGCGCTGGCACCAGGTCAATTTCTCCACACGAGTTTCCTTAAAGCTCCTAGTGAAAGCTGTCTCAGGGTGTCTGGAGAATTAAAATGGCTCGTTTTGAATATTTGTATTTACTTCCTACTTCTTCATTTAAGCTATTTATATCTGTCTAATGTGCCCACTTGTATGTTGACTCAAGTCTTTAAGATGACACAGCATGAGTAAGATTCTTTTGGGTGCGTTTTAAGGCGTTTTCAAAGCTCGACCAGTCTGTTCAACACATGTAACAGCACTGTTGCAATTATGAGCATTAGAGCAATTACAGTCTGGTCTGGTTTTACAGCTATATTCAAAATTATCTCTTTTATACTTGCTGCAAATTTGGGGAAACTGTGTAATACCATGCAATTTTCAATATTGTTTTTCTTAATCCACGTAACCCAACACAGAAATCACACTGTACGTATCCAGTGCTTCTTCGTTTGGCCTTTTAGATTGTGTACATGATTCGACCATCTGACCTAAAAACAAAAAAATGTCACCCTGAATGAATTAAGATAAAGTAACGACTTAATTTGCAGATTTTATTGTGCGGTTGATAGGGATGTAACAATAACTGAAATATTGTGATATTGCATCGTCAAAAGTCTCACAATAATATCATGGGCCATCACAATATATCGAACTGCAAGTCTCTTTGCTTAAATTCATTGTTTTGGTGCAGTAATAGGTAAAAAAAAACTGAGTGAACTACATATACCATGATCCTTTGCTCCATTACAGCGCAGACACAGAAAGGTAATGCAAATAATAATCAGAATCATCATTTTTAAGCACGTTTAAATCTTAATTCTTTGGTTTATGAAGGAACAAAAGTCTTGTCAAGGCATTTTAAAAGGAAAAAGTTGCATTTTCACAATTTATTTATTTTTTGCGTCAACAGAATATCGCAATAAATATCGTATCGTGAGATGTATATATTGTGAAAATACCGTATAGAGAGATTTGAATATCGTTACATCCCTAGTGGCTGGATACATTTAACTGTATAATGAACCTTGTCACTAAAAAATACAGTAATACTGACCAGGGTTGTCCAAAAAAATCGATAACCTGATGCTTGTGGTGTGCATTGCCTTGAGTTTGACAATACAACACACGATCTGCATGTCATGATTTAATATATCCCGATATATCCTGATACTAAAACAATGGATGATGTATTGCAATTTATCAGTAATTACTAGGGATGTAACAATGACCGAATTATTATGAAATCGTATCGTCAAAGTTCTCACAAATATTGTGGACCATCACAATATATCGAATTTGCTTAAATTAAGAGTTATGGTGCAACAATAGCTAAAAAAAGAAAAAGGGAACTACATAGACCATGATCCTTTGCTCCATTTCAGTGTAGACTACAAGAAGAAATAACAGTTCTAAGCACTTTTAAGTCTTAATTCTTTGGATTAAGTCTTGTCAAGGCATTTTAAGAGGAAAAAGTCGCATATTAACAGTTTTGTTTGCCACCACAAAATATCGCAATAAATATCGTACCGTGAGATGTATATTGTGAAAATATCGTACAGAGAGATTTGGATATTGTTACATCTCTAATCTTGAGCTTCCCCACCATATCCTGAGCTTTTCCACGATATTGCAATAATTATCGTACAGTGAGACCTGGATATTGTTATACCCCTAGTAATTACTTATAATATACTCATCTACACCTGAATGAGAATAAAATGGTATGAAATATAATTTATTTAAAAAAAAAATTCAAATAATGGGATCTTTGAATGTAACTAATGAATTTTTGTGAAAATATTGTTTAAAAAAGTCTATTTGGGTGCATTTTGAAACGATTCAACAATTGTGCAGTCGAGTATCACGATTAGGACTGTGCAAAAATATTAAAATATCAATATATCGTATCATTTAATGTGATGATACAGTATTGATATCATGGGCAGCTGTATCAATATATCACCAATAACAATAATCGTCAAAAGTCTCACAGTAATATCGTGGACTATCACAATATATCGAATTACAAGTCCCTTTGCTTCAAATGCATTGTTTTATAGTAGCAACAGCTTATAAACATTGTAAACTACATATCCCATGATTCATTTCAGAGCAACCAACATGAAGAAATATGTTTTTTACTTGACTTCTTGGGATTATGTTGGAAATAATTCACACCAAACTCTTGTCAACGTATTTTAAAAGCCAAAAAATTGTCCTCTCTCAAAAATATCGCAATAAATATCGTACCGTGAGATGCATATCGTGATAATATTGTATCGAGAGATTTTGATATTGTTACTAGATACAAATTTCAACTAGTTTGCTTTTGATACTGAGACAAGATCAGTCAAAGTTGGACCTTTTCTGGATAGTTTTAGAGTTTTGTTTATTGTCAGTGTGGTATAAAAATCTGTATGGAGTATGAATCCTACTTAAAACCAAAATTAAGTATAAATTTGAGTATTTTGACAGCACGGTTATCAAAACACAACAGCTCTAACACTTCATATGAGACTGGAATCATGAAACAGCTGACTCACAAATCTGAAAACACTGTCCAATTCAAAACGCGTTCTTCCAAGTGTGAAATAGTAACATTATCACCAGTTGCTCATTGTTTTGGTGTGAAACTGCTTAGAGATAGAGCAGGAGAAGAGTTCATTTTGCACAGTTGTCACTCCACCGTCCAAATAGTGTGGATTTTTGGAGCTAAAAGTGCTGTTTGTTCAGATAAAAGCCTGGGAAAATCAATAGAGCTATTCCAGCCCTGAATGGATGTAGCCACTGCACACCGCTCCTGGACTACCTGAGGCCGCTCGGAATGTCGGCCTGAGAGGAAAATTCCTGTCATGACACATAGTAATTAGCTTCCTGGTATTCATGTTCCACACTTCACTCTTTAAAAAAAAAAAAAAAATGGAAGTGGAATGTCTCGTCAATCGGTCCTAGTTTTGTTTCAGTTTTATTAATGGATGCACTGATACATTTGTGGTATTAGATAACGGCGCACATAAACATTTTTCATGGAACGAAAATCAGTTCCAAGATATCCCATTTTGGTCTGTTAACTGGTGTAATAAGACGATTTACTGGCCTTACGTGACTTGTATTTTTTCAAAGCTGTTCTGTAGTTTCTTTATATGATAAATAAAAGTCACAAAACACGTTTGGATCGTTTTTTCACCTAATGCCATACTTGTGTTTAAAGGAAATAAATAATAGTGTCAGTCCTCGCCCTAGTATTGGTTGATATTGGGTATTGGTAGAGCCAAAGTATCAACATCTAGTCTGATTCATCAGCCGGTTTCACTTCGTGGAAACTGTCTGACCTCTCATCAGTAGGATTTGTTTACTCAATGGTAGGCAGATACTTTTTTTTATTTAACTAGTCGCTGCTATTTGGTCGTGACGTATATAATTCGCCAAATCCCGTAGGAAGAAGGGAAATAACATTTTTCCTCTTGATAAAATTCACCAAACATTCTCTTTGTTCCTGCTTTAAATCCTCGATCTCGTGAATTGTTGCCAACACAGAATGTCTGTCTTCGTCTACATCCATCTCGACGCTTTGTTTACTGTTGTGCTGCACCACAAAAGGGACCCAGACAGGCGCTTGAGTTTGACGTCATGACTTCACAGCTCTTCGCTGATTGGCCGGTGCGCGGTCTACAACTTCTGGGGTTCCTGCAAGCCGTCTAGTATATTCCGATTCCTGACCCAGTTGCTGGAGAGAAACGAAATTGAGCAGATGCCAGCCTGGCTAATCAACATTGGTATTGGAACAGAAAAAGCTGGATTTGTGCATCCTTAATTATTATTATTATTATTTTTTTGTCCTTGTTGGTTCCTAAAGCTACACTAACAATACTAATCACTACTATGTTATTTTATCTTAAGGCCATTTAAAACATAGATAGGACCAATTGTCTGCCCTTGGACCAGAGAGTTGTTTATTTTGCTTTTATAGTGATGTTTTGTCCTCTCCCGACTAATAATATGGCTGGTTGCAACAGGAAAGGCATCCATCATGATTGTATACAGTCAATTCTGTGGTGTTCTGATCATTTTTTTTTTTTTATTGAGATTTGTTTTATCTGAAATGCTCCATCCTACAGCACTACACATACACTACCGGTCAAAAGTATTAGAACAGCACACTTTTTCCAGTTTTTTACTGTTTACTGTTGAACAAAACATATTTTAAACTTTTGATTCATGAAAGTGTCCACCTTTGGCAGATATAACAGCTAAACACACTCGTGGCATTTTTTTTTTTTTTTTACAAAAGACATAAAATATTCTTCAGAAAGTTCTTCCCAAGTCTGTTGCAGAAGTTCCCATAAATGTGTGGCACTTGTAGTTGTTTTGACTTCCACTCTTCTGTCCAGTTCATCCAAAACCAGCTCGACCATGTTTTCAAGCTTTATCGTTTTGTTCTTTTTTCCTGAGGTAGTTTTGGCAGAGCTTAGACTTGTGTTTTGTATCTTTTATCTTTTTTTAACCTCTGTCTGTTCAGTTCTTACCTTTGTACCATTTCGAGCTCTTCATTGGACTAGCACGACTTGAATTGCAATAAATAACTGGAAAAATTAGGATGTTCTAAAACTTTTGACCGGTAGTGTCAAGCAGGACACGACCAGGCCAAGTCAGATCTGTGGAAAGGCATCACCATGAATGCAATGAAAAAAGCTGCAGAATAGATTAATTTAATGCCGCACTAGAACTCGCAAAGCAATAACATCTCTCTTGATACGATCAGCTGGCAGACGTTCCACCAGAAAAGTTTCTCAGTGCACCTTTTACAATAACTAGACATGTTTCTTGCCAGGAAAATTTACTGTACGTTTGTCCGCAAACCAATTCAAAGGATGAAGCTAACATTGTCAAGGAAAGTTATCAATGGACCGTAGGAGAAATCAATACTTTTCAATTTAGGTCTAGGTCTATAAATTGTACTTGTAAACTTCCACTCATTTTTTTTCCTGCTTTTTTCTCAGGGGTGCGTTCTCCGTGGTGCGACGCTGCATGAAGAATTCCACGGGGCAAGAGTACGCGGCCAAAATAATCAATACCAAGAAGCTATCTGCCCGAGGTGAGTGCAAGATATTCTCACGGATCCTCGAAATAGGGCTGTACAGTTACGGAAAAAAATCGGATTGTGATTTTTCATACAAGTAACACATTAGATATTTGTTTAAAAGGCAGGAGTTTATTTTATTGAAGTTCCTATATTACGCAAAATTGACTCTTGTGAACTTTATATTGTTGTTACCTCATCCAAAAGCAGACCTGGAGTTGTGTTTTTTTTTCATTCACACATGTTTGAGAGATCGTGGGTTGTTAGTCTGTTTACATCTCCAAAGCTCAAAATGCTCTGTTCCACCTTGTGATGTCATGAAGCGGTACTTGTCAACTGCTTCCTATTAGAGTTTTTAGAGAGGGGGGAGTTAAAGAAGCTATTTTTGTTAGGAAAGAGAATCCATCTTTGAACAGAAATGGGGGACTCGGACATCATCTATCTCCTGTGTACAACTCCATCCTCAAAAATAAATCAAAACAAGCAAAAAAAAACAAAAAAACAATAGGAATAGTCAGGTCAGGTCCAGAGGTGTGAAAGCTCCATTATGGCCCTGAATGATTCTGCTAATAAGACCCCACAATCAGTGCAAGATCAAAAGGCCTAACTAACAAACAGAAACTGTAAACAGGTAGATGTGTTAGTTTCAGAGTAGTTTCAGTGTAGTTGGCTCCATCCTTCAGGCAGATATAAGACGGTGTTCACCAGCATCTGACCAGAACTGAAGAAGCAGCTTGGATGCGCTGCAAAATTTTTGTCCAGTTGACCTAGTGCCTCCGCTCAAATTCATTTCTCGCCAGTGACTAGGTCAGGAATCAGAATACACTAGATGGTTCGCAAAAACCCTGGAAGTGTCAGTTCGGGCACCAGCCAATCAGCGAAGAGTCATATATTCTGTGTTGGCAACGATTCCCGAGATTGAGGATTTAAAGCTGAAACAAAGAGAATGTTCTGTGAATTTTGTCAAGGGGAAAGACGTGATTGCCCTTCTTCCTACGGGATTTGGGAAAAGCTTAATATACCAGTTATCCCCGTTAGCGGAGCATTACATACGTCACGACCAAATCAGAATCAGAATCAGAATTTATTTGTCATTTCAGTATAAAAAAATACACAGAAACGAAATACTGCACTCAGGTCTGGGTCAACACCAGCATAGATAATGGTAAGAATGAATAGTTTTTAAAAATTGTATGTCAAATACAGTCTTTTAAAAACAGCCCCCTACCTGCCCCCGTTTTCTAAAGTGCGTTCCAAGTCAGTGCTGTTTTGTAAGATGCATTACTGTCTGTGCTTTCTGAATAGCAGAGATTGGGTAAATGGAAAAAAGTACTCACCTACCGTCGAGCGAACAAATCGTAATGCTGCGAGGTCAGATGGTTTCTACAAAGTGAAATCGTCAGATGAATCATAGCTACCTATTACCTTTTAGTTCGGTAGAGACTGGTGATCCAAAGCTGAAGTTCTCCAAATGATTCTAGTGAAGGTGTATGGAGTTTAAAAGCACAGTGGGGTGCTTCCTGTATTACCACATGACATCACAGGGTGGACCAGAGTGTTTTCTGTTTGAGAGAATATGCAGTGTGCAGGCTTGTGTGTTAAACATGTGTGAATGAAACAAAACTGTACTCTAGGCACATTTGCAATGAGGAAACATTATAACATAGATCAGAAAATAGCGTAATATAGTGAAGACTGAAATTTGAAATGTAAAGTTGTTCAAGAATCCCAAGTATTTCAGAACCTGTTTGTAGACATCTAAACTACAGGTACAACAAGATCTTTCTATAAATATCTACAATATGCAATTACAGCCTTTGAAATTTGTAATCGGGCCAACTCAAATTGCAATTTCAATTTGGAATATGTTGTGCAGCCCTACCGGAAAACCTGGAAATCCCAGAACATCAAGTCCTTCAGTCCAGTTTTCTGTTTTTAGCCACTTTCTTTGTTAGTTTCGTCAACTTGTTTTGGTGAATCACTCTCGTGACAATCTTTCATCTCTTCCTTTTCTCATGATGGCAAAAGTGGCAGACAGTATGACAGTGCCGAGCGGAGTTTGTGTGAGTCAACCGGAGCCTCTGATTGGTCACAGGCTCATGAGTCACTGTCGGCAGGCTTTTAAATTTGACATTTGAAAAGTAGGTAAAATGTTGTCGTCATGGGAATATGAATATGAAATTTTGCAAGTGTTGTAGTGTGAAGTTGAAATGTGTGAAACAGTAGAGATTTGTTGCTAAATGTTTGATTTTGGAGATTTTGATTCGTTTGGGGAGGTACAGATTAGAGATTTAGGGTACCCTCCCAGATTGATCATGGTACTAAGGTTAGACTGTAAGATGGTTAACGAAATAGTTTTGATTTGTGTGTGTGTTTTTTAAAGGTCCTATACTGCGCAAAACTGACTCTTGTGAGTTTTAAGCCATGTTAGAAAGTGGTTACCTCCTCAAAAACATACCTGGAGTTCCATTTCTTTCACACATGTTTGAGTAAACTGGCATTATTAGTCTGTCTACATCTTCAAAGCTCAAAATGTCATGAAGCGGTACTTTTCAAGTTAACAGCTAAGTTTTACTTTTTGCTCAGTACTATAGAGCAATTCCAGAGCTGAAATTATCCATGAAATCCATATCTATGCTTATTTAGGACTTTTTTTTCTCAAACTGAAAACACTGCGATGTCATTTGGTAATACAGGAAGTGCTCCGCTGTGTTTTTAAGCTCCACACAACTTCAGTAGATCAATCATTTGGATGATTTCAGCCCAGGAATTGGCAGTCTATACTGAACTAAATGTAAAAAGTACTCAAAGTAATTCAAAGTGCTTTACAGAATAAGAAATACATTAAAATCACAGTAAAAACAAATCAAAACATAAATAATCATCATAAAATTAAAAAGAAAGAGAGACATTAAATTAGAGAGAAGAGTGCGGAGTTCAGTCATATGCACAGCTAAACAGAATAGTTTTGAGCCTGGATTTAAACAAAAGTAGTAGGCCTGTCTCACAGTAAAGTAAACATACAGTAGCTGTTAATTTAACCTACACCAGGGGTCTCCAACCTGTAACTCAGGAACTACCAGTAGCTCTCCACCCCCTCCCAAGTAGCTCACCAACGGATTATTTACCATTGTAAGTGTATCATTTTTATGCCTAACTTGGTGCACTGATAAATGGATAATGGTTTATGTTTTATGAGCATCTAACTGTTCCCCATCTAAGACTCGCCGTGGCTCTTATATTTACTCAGTTTTTTTGCGACTGCCTAAATTAGTAGCTCTCTGGCATTTTTGTTTCGTAAAGTTCACTGGAGAAAAAAGGTTGGAGACCCCCGACCTACACCTTCATGACATGACAAGGTGGAACAGAGCGTTTTGAGCTTTGGAGATGTAGACAGACTAATAATAAAAGGTTACTTGAACATGTGAATGAAACAAAACTCAACTCCAGGTCTGTTTTTGATGAGGTAACAACATTATAACATGACTTAAAGCTACAAGAGTCCATTTTGTGCAATATAGGACCTTTAATACCACAATAAGCACAAGCAATACGTCTTCTGTAAAGAAACCATTCACAGACAAGTGTTCAGTTTACCAATCAGCATGAATAACCCAAACTGTAATCCTTTATAAGCTATTGTATATATCTCCTTTGTCGCTCTATAGTGTTTACTCATCATATTGCCCGTTCAGTTCTTGTTTATTGTCTCGTGCGTTGCTCCTCTTGCGCTGCCAGGCCTCTCTCCCCTCCTCATTAGCCTGTTCCGGGCTGAGGGGCTGGGGCAGAGCAGCAGCGTGGGCCTGTGTTTCCGATGTGGAGCTCATGATTGATCCTTAATATGCTGATGGATGCGCACACACTGCTGACAAACAAAGGCCCCAACCCACGGACGCAGGGTACAATGGTCGAACATGTAAGGGCGGACTATCACCTTTTCAAGACGGCACTGACCAATCACAACTCTCGATTCAGTTTATTTCCTATTAGGGGTGGATGTTCGATCGGATTTGAATCAAGATCGAGATTCAGTCAGTTGTAATCTTCAATGATCAGCTTCGGTCTTTTTAAAGGTGCATTGTCTAACTTTTCTGGCGGAGGGTCCGTCAAATACTTTTCTCCGTGAAGGTGTTATTGCGTTGTCTGGAATATTTCACACTTGCCACGTTTATATTCGATCTTAATTCTGAATAATTTATTTCTGAATTAAGATTAAGACCATGTAAACACTTAATTCCTAATGAAAATGATTATTCGGAATTAAACTTAATTGCGAAGTAAGTGGGTGGTTTATTCCGATTTTAAAACCAAATTAATTTATTCCTCGATTACGTAAAGGTTTATTCTTAAAAATAATTCCTGTCATTGAGGGCATGCTTGTTGGGTCGCCATTCTGACGCGATCCGGACAATCCGCCTCCAACAGTCCTGGCTTCGGACTTTCATCCACGTCTCTTTGGATTTGCGAGCGGGATGCGGGAGTGGGCTGAGGTAGAGCAACTGTTGACTCGACTGAGTTTGTCTTCTACCTCTCTTCACCGACACGACAGACGTAAAGCGTGATGAGAGAATTCTCCAGCAGCTGCTTGATTATCATCAGAACGACTGCGGAAAAAGTTTATATCATATTTGTGTCCGTGCTGTAACAACAAACCAAGATGACAAAAAAGCCGGTAGCAGCTGAAGTGTGTGTTTTCTTCCGGTCGATGTAAATATAGGTTCCAGATAGGGATGTAACTGTAATATCGTGATATCATATCGTCAAAGTTCTCACAATAATATCGTGGACCTTCACAATATATCAAATTACAAGTCTCTTTGCTTAAATTAAGAGTTATGGTGCAGCAATAGCTAAAAAAAGACAGAGGGAACTACGTCGACCATGATCCTTTGCTCCATTTCAGTGTAGAATACAAGAAGAAATAACAGTTCTAAACACTTTTAAGTCTTAGTTCTTTGAATTTTAAGGCATTTTAAGAGGAAAAAGTAGCATATTAACAGTGCAGCCTCCACAAA